CTTCACTAGCGAATATTTTGTAAGGATATCTAAGTCTATTGAGTTTTTATACAATTTTAACATTTCAAGCACAAATCAAAAATAAAATAAAATAATGTAATTACAATTATTAAATACACAAATCTCAAAGTTTCGACGGAACATTTTGTTTATCAAATCCAAGCTTAAGATATTTCTTAATAAATGTTTAGTTCTCCCAATCAAGTACAAGGACAGCTATGAAGTGCTACTAAAGTATATGTACAACATAAATTTTTAAAAATTAGAAATTTCAAGAAATAGAGAATGACGGGCTCGAAAAATAAAATATTCCAACCTAGTCTAAGGGGTGTTTGGTTCAATTTCTACAAATTATAGAAAATGTTTTCCACCCAAAATATAATTTTTTTATATTTCTTAAAAACATTATATGAAAAGTTTTGAGAAGTCAAAAAGTACAAATTTTCTTTTTTTTTACTTTGTTTGTTTGGTTCAAAATAAGAAAATAACCCATAACTTCATAGAAAATAACAAAATTTTCTATAATTTGTAAAAATTAAACCAAACACCACCTAAATTTATAAGAAAGTGTTAACTTTATAGAAAAATGTCAATGTGTTGTCAGATTTTTAGGTGGTTTTCGCCCATTTTGAGAGAAATTTGATTTCTGTAAATTTTGATTTTTTTTTGTACTTTACAAAAAATATTTCTGTAATTTTTTTGAACCAAACACAGTTTATGAAAATCTACACAAATTTTTTAATTACATAATTGTTATTGTCAGATATTTTAAGAAAACTTTTCTATAAAATTATGTAACCAATCACCCCCTAAATTTAAACCTTACTTATAACTATCTATTTTTTTTCTTTTTAATATTAAATCTAGAAAATCAAGTCCTAGTATTTACATGTGCAAAACTGCAGGTAAATAAAATGCTTTTTATAGGAAGAATCTCAAATTTACTCATGTGCCATTCACATGCAATTTAAAGGCAGGGGGGGGGTCAAATAAGAAAAGTTTAGAATTCATGGGTTTTCGTGAGGCGCTCTAAAAAAGCTCAGGAGGGTCACTGAAGATAAAATAAAGCTTTAGACGGATTAATGTACGGAACCCTCCAATGTTCAAGGGGGTTTCGTGAAATTAATCAAAAAAAAAAAAGGCCCACCGTCCGGTTCAAGTTTGAATGCCAAAAAGCAGCCAAAAATCACAAAAGTTGTGCGCCCAGATCACGCGACCAAACACAACGCCACAGAACAGGTTTCACGCGCAAAAGCCGCATCGAACCCAACAATCCTCACAACTAATAAACAGAACAAAAATAAATAAATAAATAAATAAAACTTTACTTTTCCCAAAGCGATCGCAGATCCAGTCCGCCAAATCCACATCCCCCAATTTTCGTGCCTCTCCTCCTTTTTCCTTTTTTTTTTACTGCGGCAGTGGACCCCACGTAAACAAATTAACCCCCCAATTTCAACAAAAAACTAGTAATAATGAAACTTCCCATTTCTGAAGAAAAAAATTCCAAATCTCCAATCACCACTCGGAAC